GAGAGAATTGGAGGATAACTCTGAAATCGGAGAGAGAGGTATTTGAGAGGAAGGATCAACGCGACCAGAGCTACTAGGGAGATTAGGATGAGTCATAGTGAGATAGATAGAAAAGTGGGATAGAAAAGGATTTGAAGGTGGATTGGAGAAGGATGGAAATGGGTTGTTGTCGAGTGTGATGAAGGATATGGTTTGAGTTGAAAACGACGATCACTTTCGGGGTCAAGAGTGAACCAACCTCATTTCTTTGTACAGTCATATGATCAGCATCTTAGAAAAAATATGCTAATGGAGAGTAGGATACATTTTGATCACATTTTTAAAAATGCGCGACCAAATAAAATACACAAGAAGAGAAGTTTAAATCTCTTCTGTTGAGTATTTTCTTAAAGATGCCGCGGGCAGTTTGTATTTGTCTCTCCGTACTAGGTTTTTTTATTCTGCTTTAATACATTCGCGATGAAACGTAACCAGATACTTGAAATCTTCCCGACGTTATCTCTCTACTGATCGCCGATATTCGCCAAGTCAACATATGTATCTAGAATAGATTGATGTTCAGCAGCCTCGCGATCTCCTTGATACAAGACACAAGAAGAAAAGTGTGATTTTTTGTCTGTTGAGCATTTTCTGAGTAAGATGCCGCGGGCAGTTTGTACTTTGCTTCAATTCATTCGCGATGAAAAATCAAACAAATACTTTAAATCTTTCCACAGTTATTTCCCTACTGATTGTAGAGACGCGCCAAATCAACATATCTGGAACAGATTAATGTTCAGCAGACTCGTGAGCTTCTTAATACAATAGAAAAGTTCAAATTTCTTGTGTTGAGTATTTTTTGAGTAAGATGCCGCGGGCAGTTTGTATTTTGCTCTCTGTACTGGGTCTTTTCATTTTGCTTTACTTCATTCGCGATGATAAATCAAACAAATACTTTCAATATTTTCAAACTTATTTCTTTACTGATTGCCGATACGTGCTAAGTCAACATATCTGGAATAGATCAATGTTCAGCGGCTTCATGAGCTCTTTAGATTTTTCAAGCAAACCGCTTTGTTATACGACACCACAAATTGGTAAACTCCTTGCATTACTTCAAACAAACTCTTTATGCCATACCATTCCCCGGAAGACGTTTCACTGTATGACCTATATTGGCAATTGAACATTTTTGTGATTCATTTTGTCTTTCTAATAATCACGATAAACGTTTTATCCCAATCGCCACTTTGTGTTGACGACTTGGTCTGGCGTCGATCCCCGTTATCGCCGTGTTGTCTACGGTGTTTTGTTGGAACGTAAAACACATTGGGTCTATCCAGTGTTCAGTTTACTTAACGGTGGTCTACTGAGGGAAACATTCTCCGCATAGCACTGTCTAATTACAAAGTCTCTGGTCGATGCAAAGTAAATGTATATTGTACAACTTTCTGATTGACGTACGGGCTCTATCTGAACACCTTTTAACAAAAATAGCTCTACTTCAAGCTATCCAAATGATGGTTTTTTTTATAGTCAATCTTTGCAAAAGTTCAGTAGCTTAATACTTCCCCTATTCACACCAAAGTGCTTCAATGGGATGGCTGCCTTATGGATCCTTGGTCCCTCACCTCCAATGTATCTGGAGAATACCAATCTTTGGTTCCTTTTGGGTGTGGCCGCCTTCTGATTGTGCAAGTATAGCATATTTTCATCGAGCATCCGCCAGCTGTGGTGGCTTCATAGGGATGAGAGCGCTGAGTGACTTCGTTTTCGGTATTTAAAGATTGGACTTGATGGCACATCACGACTGAATGGCCCTATTGACCTGCATATCATCACACTATCACTTTCTGATGAAGCACACCGAGCTACTGGGACATAGTGCAGGTCGTGCCTTCAAGTTCCACGACTAAGCACTGATGACAATATTTTTGTTATCCCAGATAGACGTGCTCATGATTCGTGAGATCCGAATTCCTTATGAGAGCCATATTTTCTTCTGGAGACTTCTCAATAACCTTGAAAATTACTAGCATCTTAACAAGTTAGAAGTTGAAAGTGAAAATTTATACCTTTGATTTCCTGGTAAAGTGCTACATATCTCTGATGAAATTGTACATCTTGATGTGAATTGTATGACCTCTCCGGATGCTCTTCTTGACATCCATTGATTTCAGTGCGGTCGTTGAAGCGCTCCATCGAGCAGTTGTTGATACAATACTTGCATCTTGAACAAGTACTCGACACTTAGTGGTCATCAGCACTCAGTCCTAACACGCTCAAGATCCATCTCAGGACTTTTATGCTGAGCTCACTTTCTGTTCTCATGTTTGCAATCTGTTTACTTCACTCAGCCAATGTTCAGCTAGAAACCTTTGTATATAAATCAAACAGTTGTTGATTGCATTTGATGTTTTTCCTTCTTCACATGTTCGCATCTAATAATCATTACAAGTTTTGTCTCTTTTGCTTTCCTCGAAAGAAGCCAATCAGTCTTCTTGTACACTTCACTGCTCGATATCGAGTATAACCCTCGACAATAGCATTTCACCGCACCAGTGCACGTAGCTTGTTCCATCAGCAGTGCGAAGTGACAGTTGTCATGTTGGTTGAAGAGAATTTTCATCCAGTGCTCTGGGAATTCCAGTGTAAGCCTCTTCGTTCAAGTGGACAAGATTTGGATCTCCAATCCCCTCGTTCGACGACCAGCGAAGAGAGAGGGACTTTGTTGAGTTGAGCGGCATCCCGATCGATCCAGGCTAACGCGGAAACGTTGTGTATCAGCAGATGGACGCGGATTCATGTCTTCATCCCAAGCTCATCGATCCGATAAGCAATGCTTGACATTAGCTCATTTGTGGATGATGGATGCCGGTGAACTCCTGAGTCCTGGAGTAGTCAATCAGGAATCGAACAAGCGTCGGGCTTTGTCAAAAACGGCTGAGAAGGGCATTCGGTTCTGACAGCTGAAGGTTCAAGATCAAAGAGCATTTCCAGGCCGGATGATGGCGATATGAAGGAGATTCTCGGTTTCGTCGTGTCTTATCGATCGCGTTGTACCATGAGGTCATTTTCGCGGTTTCTTTGATCGATCAGTTTCCTTATGCTCAGCTTCGAGGTGGTTTTAAAAAGTTGGAGGAAACCGAGGTAAACTTAACTGATCGAGGTCGGAAATCAAGAAATCAGCCGGATCATCCTAGATCATCACTTCGGTCAACAGGGTGACTTAATTTTTGACGCAAAGATCAATCAACTCAATTGAAATCAAAACTGCTCAATAGTTGATACAAGACTACCATTGGCAATTCTACCTATTTTATCATTGATATCCTTTAGGATCCTTTAGTTGCAAAATGAAATGTTTGAATCGGTGGTGGTAGCCTTAATGGGTGGTGTAACAAGGCTAGAATGGATTATCGATCACGTTGGCTCCCAGTTTCCCGAGTTACTTGGCCATTGTAGTAGTCAAAACCAAAAGGTGGTTGTCAAGAAATAGATGATAGGAATGGATATAGATATAGATTAGTCGAGTACAACATAGGGAAGATTCATCAGAAGAGTTCCTTGTCAGTTTATTGGAAATATAAGAGGGAGCATCCATCAAACTTAAAGGCAATCAGGTAGCAATCCAAGAAACCCGACTAAGGTAGCTTTACTCCTTAACATCTCATTCCACCAAGCCATTCAGCTTATCAAACATGATATCAAAGCAAGCCAATCATATCATGAATCCCAAGAATTCACATTCAAAAAATGATTTCAACTCAACCCTGTTTCAACCAAATTATCCAAAGAAACTCAACAATTTAACTTCAATTCAAACTTCACTCTTACCATTCTTCCAATCAAGAATTAGATTTATAATCTTAGCAATCATCACTACCACACTTTATATAACAAACCAACCTAACATCATCTCAACTAAATTCAAATTACAAACTAACCATCAAGAAACTACTCCAAAGAAATCACTACCTAAAAAATTAAATCCATCAGATTATTCTGATGAATTACTTTTATCTTTACCAATCTTAATTTCTACTTCAAATCAACCATTTGATCCAATAAATGAACACAAACCATTACCCAATCATTTAACTCCATTCACCACCCAAACCTTAATGAACCAACTCAAAACCCCTCCAAAATCCAATGCGCCAAAAAAACTCCCATATCCCTCCCATCCCTCTGCTAAGCCCCATCCTCAAAAAGTCTTAAATACAACCATAAAAGATTTTGAAATTGCTAGTAAATATAAATTACCTACATCATCCAATTCCAGAAATTTAAAATCGGTTCAATACTTGGGATTCAAAAAGTCAAAGTTCATTAAGAGTTGGGAAACTCGGGAAGAAGAAAGTATTAGAAATAAACGAAAAGAGTGGGTCAAGAATGCTTTTTTGGTGGTTTGGGAAGGTTATAAAGCTAAGGCTTGGGGTCATGATGAACTTAAACCCATCTCTGGTTCAGTTTAGTGATATTTCATTCATTTGAATTATTTCTTTACACATCACATTGATTTTTTGTGTTGGTTTTATTGTTTGCAGTTTGATGATCCTTTTTCGGGTTGGGGTGCTACTTTGGTAGATTGTCTGTAAGTCTTATCTCCATCTTCTTTATTTCAATCACAGGATACAAAGTAGAAGTCTGGGTACGTGCCTTGGGTTTTTTTCTCAGACATCCAGAATCCCAGCCACAAGTTGGAATGTGAGAAATTCTGGGACAAAAAATCAACATGTAGTTCTCCTCACACTTAGCTTACCCCATGCCCATCAAGCTTGACAAGACACGCACCTCAAACCAGGTCACTTGAATGGACCTTTTGGGGTCTTGTTTCCAAATAAATTGAAGCATCAAGACACTGATGGATTCTAATGAGGTGTGAGGTGTTAACAAGAGATGAGGTCAGAAAATCTGAATGAGTTTCTGGCTGATTGTGCATTCAAAGTTGAGGCTTCCCTGGTAGAAATCCAGAATTCAAAGCACACTACAGCCAAGAAGGATGTGGCCAGGATTCTGGAATTCTGTGAAACAAATCCCTTCTGCTTTGTATCCTGTATTTTTTGATTTTATCAATCTTGCAGATATTAAAAATCACAAATTATATAAATAATTATTCCAGTAATTTGTAAACATATAAAGACAAGCGCAATTCCTTACTAACAGTACAGAAAAATGGTCAAACAAATCCATAGAACTAATTACCTTTTTGATGTTTTGTATTCAGTGATACACTACTAATCATGGATCTACCCAAGGAATATGAAGTAAGTCCCTCCCAAATCCCTCAACTCCTCAAGTCTTCTGAAAAGAATAGATAAAACTAATCAAAAATGTTTATAGTATGCAAGAGATCATGTAAGATCAATAGATTGGAGTAAAACTTTAAATATTCAAACAATTAAATCACAGAGATCTCCACCCAGTTCAGACCCAACTATCCCATTCTTTGAAACTGTGATCCGATGTAAATTCCGTTTCTCTTTCATTTTCCATTCAATTGGCTTTCTCCTCTAATGTCTTGGTTTGTTTTGGGGGAGGTCTTTAGACTTAGGAGGATTGATCTCAGCTTATGAATTATCAAATGATAAATTAATGTTGGAAAGAGCAGAAGATTTAGCTGATTGGCTATTACCGGCTTTTGGTACTGATCTTGGATTTCCTATACCTCGTTATAAGATTGGATCGTAAGTTTCTTTCTTGCATTCTTTCTTGCTCCTTTTGTATTTAGAAACTGATTTTTCTTTGGGTTTGGGGGTTGGTTTGAATAGGAATCCTCATAGTCAATATGTTGGTAGAGTTTGTTTAGCTGAAATGGGTTCATTACTTTTAGAATTTACAAGATTATCACAAATCACTCAAAAACCTCAATACTTTTTTTATGTGAGTTCTTCTTTCCAAACCTTGTTTCTTTTACTTAGTTAATTGGATGGTTTTCTTTGGTAGGTACAAAGGATCACAGATCATTTAGATTCGGATCAATGGAGCTCAGAAGATCGAATTGGTAGTTTATTTCCTACTATAATTCATCCTGATAATCCTACAGATTTATGGGGTTATTATACATTTGGTAAACCGTTTTTTCATTCTATCACTTAAAACCACATCACTAACATGATTTCCTTTTGTTATAAATTTATTTTTAAGGTGGCATGGCAGATAGCTACTATGAATATCTCGTACGTTTCTCTCACCCCCCTCAACCCAATTTCCCTTTGAGAACTAAGTTCTTATCAATCTTAACTATTTAGATAAAACAATACCAATTACTAGGTCTCCAATCCCCTCAATACTCAAAAATGTATACATCAATCCTAAAATCAGCCAAAGAAAACTTGAAAAAAACTTTCCAATTAGAACCTACCAACCAAACTCAAACAAGTACAACACCTAAGATCATCACAATTTTAGGTGATAGATCAGGAGGAAAAGATTCAAATTTAGTCAACTCGCTTGATCATTTAACTTGCTTTTCTGGTGCTATGATTGGACTTGGAGCTAGGTTATTGGATAACATTGAAGATTTAGATTTAGCTGTTTCTGTATGTCTCTCTTTTCTTTTTCTCTTTTTTTCAAGAAATAATAGGCCTTTGATTGATTGATTATCTGAGGGGGGGTCTGCTGTTTCTTATAGTACACCGATTCTTGTGTTTGGGCTTATGAATCTACTAAAACTGGTTTAGGACCGGAGAGAATGATTGTTTTTGATGATGAAGATGGTGCAGAGTATTGGGAACCAGTCAAACATGAAGGTCAGTGTTATTCCTAAAAAAACAATTTTGTTGTGGAAATTTAATGATTTCCTTGAAACACTGTCCTTTTGCCTTGATTGCATTTTAGGAGAAGTTTATCGTAGATTAATTAAAGAGAATGGACCTCCTGGTTCGATCATTCTTGATTCTAAATATGCTGGTAGACCTGAAACAATTGAGTATGTTTTTTGTTTTGATTTTCTTCCTTTTTCTTTTTAAATTGGATACTGTGAATTGATTCTTTGAAATTGATATTGGTTAGATCTGTTTTGTATATGTGGAGAATTACTGGGGATAAAGTTTGGCAAGATAGAGGATGGAGAATGTGAGATTTTCATATCAAAAACAAGAAAACCACATACAAAAAAACTGAAGTTATTTTTTTGCAAAAAATAGGTTCACAAGTTGGGTAGAAGGATGTTTAACCGAGTTTGGATTTGCTGATATAGTTGATGTCAATCATTTACCTTATCAAAGATCAGATAAACAAGAATCATATGTTTTAGCTGAAACGTAAGCAAACCAAACTCCTCTTCCTATGCAAACTTTTTCCATCCGCAATCCAAAAAAAAACAGATATTGAGAAGAGTGTCTTTTTGGTTTCTTCAGATTGAAGTATTATTATTTATTATTTGATGATCCACATTCAATTAGTTTAGATGATTATGTTTTTAATACAGAAGCACATCCATTCAAATTAGGAAACCGTAAAGCTTTGAGAAATTATGATTTGAAGGAATATAAAGATGAAGAAATTGGGAAAGGTAGTGTTTTGCAGGTTTGGGCAGGGTTGGTTTATGAGGATTTGGATGAACAGGAAAAAGAAATCTATAGGGAAGTTTTTGGGGTTTAATTCTTTTTCTTTGAGGGAGAGAGAGCAGTCTTCTTTCTTGGTGTATTAACTATGTCTAGAATTTCTTTTTTTACTTTTTCTTTCTCTGTTGTAGACAAAGTGATCAGTGCATTTTGTTTTAAATAAATGAACAATTTCTTATCCAATTTGTTTCTCTCTTGTTTTGAAAATTCAAAATATGTTAACTCCATAGATATTTTTGTTGTTAAGAAAGCAAGGAAGGAAAACGGATTTTTTGAAAACGAAAGGCAGAAAACTGAATGACTCCATGCTGTACCACCAAGTGAATCCGATTTGAGAAAACGAGGAGTTTACAATGTACATACAGTCAAACATCAAGGACTGTCAAAGATGGCTTCGGGTACGAGCTGGTCGGGGCTTTGGGGTCAAGATCCTGTAAGTGCAAAATCGATCGAGGTTGCCTGGCCGTACACACTATTCTTGTCGTTCCGTTCTATTTCGTTTCCCAAGTTCTGATGGCTTCTTTCGAGATTCTGCTCGGGTCCTCTTATCGTTCAATCACGCTTTGATCCGCGTTACGAATATTCAGATTTGACATACGATTGAAGATCAAATATGTTAGACCGATTGATCCGGTTCTACATGATACTTCATGTTTCTTTGGATCCTATCGTATGCGAAAGTCTCAGATCTCAAAGGTTCATAGACCACGTAGATGAAAATTTACGTTACTTTTGCGACTGGTTGGATGAGTTTTGGGATAGAGAATCGAGTTTGCTTACTTGATCGTTGAGCTCAATTCCAAAAACTCCAATGATTGGACTGTATACAAGATCTCATGAACATCGAAACATCGGATTCGTTGAGTGGAAAACTCGAACGCTTATCGACCAAAAAATAACGTTCAGTTAAAAGCGTGTCCAAGAGATCGACTGTAACCTGAAGTTTAAAAGCGTGATTTGTATGAATAAAAGTAATTGATTTTGTCGGGCAGTCGAAGTAATCGTTATTGTTTTGTTTGCGCTCCGAGATATGTCGCAATTACAAACATATGTTACTTGATTCTGGTTCGATTTGAAACCCTGATATCTATATTATTCTGCTGAAGAATTACGCAGCGTCAAAACACCAAAATTTGGACTGTAGAGGACAAACAGAGAAAAGTCATAAACTCCGAGTTGCGAAGAATTCAATCTTCATCTTCACGGAAGAAGTTTGGAAACTTGATCGGTATGAACAGAAGTGGTCTATTTTCTGGGTATTTGAAGTGAATCAACCAATGATGATTGTTCGCGCTCCGAGATATACCGCGATGACAGAGCATATGTGATTTGATTGCACTTTGATTCAGAACTCGCCAGGTAACAGTATCATTCTGATGGGGAAACTGACCAGCCAAGTCACCACGGAGATGCAGAACTAAAAAAGCCATCAACACAAAGTCGTTGAGGGTCTATCCTCCGGCTGAAAGAAGTTGAAAGTTTCGCGAAATTTGCATATGCTTCACTTGCCCTGTACAAAGCCAGATTTCTCTGGAGCGTTTTTGTACACCTTTTTAGGAGATAGGTAAAATCTGTTCGAGAAATCAGAGGTAAAAAATTTCAATATTGACCTTTACCTTACAGATCAACACCCAGTTTTTTTCAGGAGCTTTCAGAACAGGATATGGTTCTGATAAGGAATCAAAATCTCGAAAGTCACGAACATGTCTACTTGAGATGACAACAGAAGACGTCACCAGAAGATAGTTGTGGAACTTGAAAGCACAACCTTCACTGTGTCTCAGGGGCTCGGTGTCCTTGCTCTCAAACCAGTAGTGTGATAAGATGAAGATTGAGGATGCTAGGATCTTTTGTGTGGTGTCACTTCAAGTCCAACCTTGAGATATTGCAGGCGAACTGATTCAACACTCTGGTCACTGTGCCAACACCAAGGCTGAAGTATTCTCGCTTGAAAGATGTTATGCTTGATGCATCAAAAGGCAAACATAACTACAGGAAAATTAGCAAATTCATGGAATATGTTGCAAATCTATCGCAGGTGCGGAACCAAGGATCCGTCTGGAAGACATCCCATTGAATTACTCCGGTGTGAAGAAGGCAATTACCCTGCTAAAAAACTTTAAAACAGAATGGAGAGATAGCAATACATACCAGCATTCAGATAGCTTGTAGGATAGCTATTTTTGTGCAAAGATGATCACGTAAATACCGTACGCAAAATACAAAGATACATATAATACCTTTGCGTCATACCCACCTTCGGCTTGAGAATTAGACGGTGAACGACTGTTAAGTGGGCCAAAAAAGGATAGTCCCACTACGTTCAACATTCCAATGAAAACCTCTAGAGCAACTGATGATGAAGGGGATGAAGCTTGCACCAAGTCATCAACCCAAAGATGGGATGGGATGAGAAGTTCATGACGATTTCTAGGAAGATGGAATCAAGCACGAAAGTGATCAGGCGTCAACATGTATCACGAAATGACGCGTCCTTCTGGAAAGGGTATGACATAGAGAAATAGTTCAGGTTGAGGGAAGAGATTATAACTTTGTGGTGTTGACTTATAGAGAAACAGTTTCCTTGAGCAATCCAAATGAGCTGATGAGGCAACTGAGCATTAATCTACTCCAGATATGTTTGCTTGGCGCGACCAGGCAATCAGTGGAGGAAAAAAGGATTTAAAGTATCTGGTTACCTTTCATCGCAAATATGTCAAAGGAAAATAAAAACCCAGTACGGAGAGAAAAATACAAACTGTCCGCGGCATCTTACTGAAAAAATACTCAACGGAAGAAATTTGAAGTTTTCTGCTCTTGTATTGTATTTGGTCACGCATTTTTCAAAAAAAAAATAAAGATGGATCCTACTCTCCATTAGCATATTTTTCTAAGATGCTGATCATATGACTATACTAAGAAATGACCTTGGTTCAGTCTTGACCCCAAAAGTGATCGTCGTTTTCAACTCCGACCATATTCTTCATCACACTCAAGAGCGACCCATTCCCATCCTTCTCCCATCCGACCTTCAATTCCTTTTCCATCCCACTTTTCTATCTACCTCAGTATGACTCATACTAATCTCCCTAGTAGCTCTGGTCGCGTTGATTCTTTGTCTCAAATACCTCTCTCTCCGATTTCAGAGGTATCCTCTAATTCTCTCTACATCGATTTCATCCAAATTCCTTCCAATTCTGCTTCTGGAGACCTCAACTATAACGATGTTCTCCAGAGCACTCCTATCTCTCCTGAACATACTCCTCTAGAACTTGATCAAACGTTTATTCAACGTTCTCGAAAACGCCAAGCTGTCTTATTAGAACATGGTCATCCTTCTAATACTTCTGTTCCTTCTGCTCTTTCTCTTCCTTCTGCTCTTTCTGCTCCTTCTCTTCCTTCTGCTTCTTCCGCTCCTTCTGCTTCATCTCCTGTTAAAAGAAGAGGTAATGCAGTCCCGATTGGGAATCGCAACGCTATCTTTGTGGAAAACGGACTTCCTTCGGTTGTTTGTGGTTCATCTCCCACTCGACGAAGACGTAATGCGGTGATCTTTGAAAACGGTTACATTCCTACTCATCATCAACATTTCATTCAACCCACTCAAAGTTCTCAACCTAAAGACTCTGATTTCTCTGCTTCTCAAATCGCTCAAGCTTTACTGAACTTTAGAGATCAAGAGCTGGTGCTTGCTGATGAAAGTTCCGAATGGGACTTGAGTGCTTTTCATTCTGATGAAGATGTTGATCTTATTTAAGAAAAAGTTCAAATAAGACTTTATTTTTGGCGCGTTTCTTTTTTTTTGGTTTCCTTGGAGGTATAACTGGATATCGAACTTGATAAAAAAAGTAAGTCAATAAATCTTTGATCATCTGAACATTACATCTTACTGACTCTTCTTCCATTCAAACAGTGCTTGAAGCCTCAATTGCTACCCCTATCGAAGGAGACTAAGACGAATATCAAATCTGTTTGTAGAAGGACATTTAAAAAGTATAAAAAAGATCTAAATATTTCAGAGGTACATTTTTAATACATTCCTTTCGTGGCTTACTTTCAAAGTCTTTTCCTTTAGAACTCATATAACTCTTTGATATTTGCCAATAAATATCTTTGATTCTTTTATTTGATCAAGAAAAATTCATCTCTCAAACGGATTTGGTTTGCCTCATCTGTTTTTTTTATGTGAAATGTTGTCTATTGGGATGAGATGTCAAATAATCAACGGACCTTGACCTATCATTTCCTTGAGAATTGAATGAGCTTATCGCGCCCTTTTGACCCAAACTACGAAGAACGTCACTTTAGTGTTTAAATTCCATGGAACCTTCCAATTCTCTCGTCGCTGTGTCCGTGCTCTGATCTTTCATGTATACTGTGCTTTAGAAGCAATGATGGCTTCAGAGGAATGAGAGTGCTGTTGAGATTCACATGTGATGTCCAAAGAGTGTACTCGATGCCACATCACACTTAAAAAATCTTAGCATCCTCCCTCTGTACATCATCATAGTTTTACTTCGTGATAAAGCACATCACGATACTTGGACGCTATGAAGGTCGTGCCCTCCACAACCATATAATGCTGAAGTGACTTTTGTCATGTCAAGTATACATATTGATGAGATGTAAAATTACAATTCCTCATCAGGACTGTCTATGGAGACTTCTCAATAAAACTGAACATAACTAGCATATTAATAAGTTAGGCGTCAAACGTGAACTTGTATACCTGGGATTTCTCGAACAATGTTATGTATCTCTCAACCAATTGTTATTGTTATTTCTTACACTTCACAGACATGTGTCTTTGCGGAGGCTACAATTGAAGCATATGAAAATTTTGCAAAAAATCATGAATTTCAGCATATGTCCCTTAGTGACAATGAAGGTCATATCCTCCAAAACTTTGCCTTTGTGGATTTTTTTGTTTTTTCATCTGCATGGTGTTCTGGCTGCTTGATTTACCTATCAGGATAATACCGTTCACCCGTGAGTTCTCAACCAAACTGGGACCTAGTCAAATATGCTTTGTAATTGTGGTATATCTCGGAGTGCGAAAAATTCAAGAATGATTACCTCAAATTCAACTACCCAATAAAATGGACCACTTTTGTTCATGCCAATCAAGTTTCCAAACTTTGGTGGTGAGGATGAACGTTATATCCTTTGGAACTTGGAGTTCATGCCTTGTTTGTCATTTGCACTGCCGTCAGCATTTTGATGTTTTGGTTGGTCAATTTCTTTGGCAGAAGAATTTTGTTTTCTGAGTTCCAAATCAAACCGGTATGCTCTGTAATTGCAAGACATCTCGGAGCGCAAAAGAATCAATAAGAATCATTTCGAGTTTTACCACCCACACAAAATGAATCTCTCCTGTTCATATCAATCAAGTTTCCAAACTTCATATTACCTCGTTTGCTTGCACACGTTTTTAGCTGAAGGATTTTTTTTGATACAATAAAGTTTGACTTTGTTCACTCAACAAACGCTGTGTATGTAAGTTCAGTTGTTGAGCTAATTGGAGATAAGTTCGACAATAGAGTAAGCAAACTGGACTCTAGGTGGTGTCAAACTAGGAAAAGTTGAAGTTTTCAAAATAAAAATTTTGAACCGTGTAATTAAATACATGTGATACAGTTTCAACTGTGTATTTACAGTTTCAACTTTGTATGTATTTGGAGGGTGGCCTCCCTCGGGCTTCACCATTTGTGAAGAAACAAAAAAGGGCTGATGCCCCCATCCTTAATAAATCAACATCTACACAGAACACTGGGGCAGGGTAAAGCGCGTTGGGACAGGTCTCTTGAGGCCGTGTTTGTAAGTACTTCCATAGATGGCCATCTCTTCCAAGTCTCAACGCTAAAGAGCTCTAATGAACTATTACGTACCATCCCCTGAGGGATGCTTTCCATCAGAACCTCTACCTCCAATTTATGGCTACAACCCCGATCCTCCCTCTCATGACCACCAAACTGGACCACCACAACATTTTCCCCAATTTGATCACGGGTTTGAACCGTTTGATCACATGTCTGGTCTAATGCCGCAAACGCCCTTTATTTTCCACGGATCTTCAGATGGAAATTTTGGAGGATTCCCTCAAAGCATCACATCAGCACTCCCCCTGCATCAGCAATTGCCCACGGAAATTCTGCCGTCCAAGATCAGCCTCATTACCCCAATCAACCACCGCCTAACCAGCCCGGTAGCATGAATACTCAGCCAACGACTTATACGTCCCCATCACCTGTCCTAGTCAAAGGTAAAAGAGGACGCAAGCCAAAGGCCAATAAGACCAATTCAGCAGTGCAGGATACCGCCACGTTAAAATCTCCTAATTGCACGCCGACCAACTCAAAAGACGATTTTCACCGCCACTGGGCAAGACATAAGAATTTGAATGGCGAATCGGCTAGCAATATCTTAATCCAATGGGTCCTCATCCCCGGTAATTACAACAGATGGCGCGAAAAGGGTTCCAAGAAGAATGTGATAGCCGAAGATATCTCGCAATTCTTGATTCAAAATGGAATCTTTGGGCGCGATGGAAATTCAGTGGTTCAACAAGTTTGTCACTATCGTATTGGAAGTAGCGAAACGTGTATACTAATGTAGTTTCAAAATTTAGATGCACTCGTTAGAGGATAGGTATCGAGAAGCTCTAGAGAGGACCAAGCAAACTGGCGGGGGACTAATTGGAATCTCAGGAGAGAAATCATTCTCCGGTATGTATATCTTGTTGAATTTGAACCGATACTGTGGCTCACATCTTGTATATATAGACCAAATCGAGGGGATATGCCCATCATTCTACGAACTGGACCAAATCATGGGTGATCGACCATCAGCCATGCCCTTTGATGAGATAGACCTCGTGGACGACGTAAACGAGAATGATATCCGCGATGCTTTCCAGCTCCGTACGGCCAATCAAGACGTCTTAGATGTGGAACAAAACATCGACAACCCAGATTTTAGTGACCTCTTTGACCCGTCTGATACCAATGATGATTCATTCAACCTACCAGCCCCTCTACAACGCGATAACCTGATGCACAAGGACCGCCAGATCCCCCCTCGACGTCGAGGGGGGTTGACATCCTTGCAAATGTTTTGCAAATGTGTCCAATCCTACCCGCCTTTGTGTGTCCTAGCCTTAGGCAGCGCTTAGGCAAAAATTCCATGATCAGAGGCCTGACCATCTTTGAGCTCTCAGCTCGGGCTGAACTCCTCATTCAACAATTCCGCTCAGAGAACTGGATGAGCCTATCTGGAAAACTGAACTTTGACATTTCATGCGGGAAGATGTCAACATACCTCCAAGAACCCATATGTAGTATGTATCATATGCAAGACATCTTGTCTATCATCCTTACAGTGTTCTACTTGATCTCACGATAATTCCAACAGCTACAAAGCTTTGGCTTTGAGGGATACGTCATCAATTTAATCGTTGGACCAGATCCACCTTTAGCGTACTTGTGTTCTCAGGCAGCTCTCCATCAGATTGTGAGTTGGAAATGGATCATGTCGGTATCCTGCGGGGCGGCTGACTTCTGGTGTTCCTATCAAACAGCCAATCACGCTTGCTCCGCGATCTTCCTTGAATGTATCTCGCCTTGAGGATCACAGCTGTCCGTTCAAATCATGGATTGTTGGAGACACCCGATTCAATGTTTCGTTTTCAAATTACGGGAATCAAGAGCAGAGCATTGGTTCGAGTTCCTTTCATAAACCCAAAGTGCTCACCATAGGGACTCGTAAGCTTGTTTCACTTGTTATTGTACCGCTGCCTCCTTATCGATTGCTTTTTTGGGACATATAAGTCGATCACGCTGCTATCGCCAAGGGGGAGAAAGACCTCAGCACTCTTCAGGAGAGAGACGACAAGATGAAGGGAATAATCGCGGAATATATTGAGACGGATAAGTGTCTCAGGGCAAAACACGCTGAGTTAATGACAAAAAAGGTTACTAGATTCCAGTGTCTTGAGGACGTCACCTCGCTGACCCTTGTCTCTGTTTGGAATGATTCTATATTACGATCATATTCAGAAAAGTCAAGAGGCGACTGAAGAGAAGCACCAGTGCTATCAATCAGACCCTATGCTATCAGAATTATTGTACCAACAACGGCTTCACCTCTTAATCATTCTCTTTTTCCCCATCGTCTCTTTATAACACTTTATGTTTTGATTTGCATCAGAGACACATCGATTCAAAATAAGTTTCATAATTCATATTCTTCTGTTCAAATAAACACAATACTGATGTTAAAAAAGAAAATCACAAGTTGTACGATCAAAATGATATCAATGGCATTACCCAGCTTTTGTCACAAGTGACGCTTTGATAACGCTAGCCTTAAATCGCGACAGCTTATTATGAACCTAATGATCAACCTAAATCTAAGATAATGTTAAGAGACCGTTAACAAGTTTTGGATCTTTGATTGCTGAAAGAGCTGGATGGAAAGATGTTTCGCAAGTTTTAAGAGTCTCAAGTAAACAGAAAGAACGGAAAGGTTTTCTACGTGCTAAGCCTGTCTCAAAGCATCAATTCAAGTCTCAACATCAAAGGACAGATACTAACACACTTTCTATGTAAACTACAAAGAGTAAGGTAATGCAGCCAGAGTCAATCAAAAATGATACATCTAACATTGTATACCTGACCCAATAAACAGTCTCAGTCTTTTCAATCCTAGATACCTCAACTCTAGCCCTTGACACATTAAAATATACAGTCCTGTAACACA